ATAGGGTAAACATAATAGTATAATAACTTTATTTAAAAGATGATACGAAAGAAATTGAATTCTTTATCAGAATTCAAAGAATTTACATTCCACCGTATGTAGAATTTGAATTCCTTACTAAAACTCAAAAAATGAGCAAAACACATGAACGTTACTCGATCAATAGAATGGACCATAATTTATTTAAATTATGTCTGCTTCCAACGAACCGAACATCTCATTAAGGTTTTTTGGAGTTTGACTTCATTATATATTTTCTTTTTCTTTTTTAACTCAATACTTGCAGAGGGGCTACACTTGCGAAGGTGTCATCCTCAAGACTAGAGGTGTTCATGGGTTGGGTTGATCGGGTTGAAGACATTTGAACAACCCAACTCAATATTTGCGGTTTGAAAAATCTTAACCCAACCCAAACCGTACAGGTGGGTGGTCGGGTTGATACTTTGATACATTAAAATATTCTTGTAACCTTGAATATATTATTTCTCTGCTCATAATTTCTTTTTCATCATCAATCATTTGATACAACTTATCCATACTTCTTACGTATATCACATTCAGTTAATTTTCTCAATTTACGTATATATGTTTACAGTTACTGAACATATATACGAATGAGTTATATAGAGATGTGAATAGATTGAAAAGATGTGTATATGAATAGTGTACGCGATAATGTAATTGTCTAGTCTATATATTAATAGAAATTCAACAATCATATTAAATTCAAGAAATAAATGGATATCGGATTAATTGGGTTGAGTTGAGTTCAAATAATAGTAACCCAATATCAACTCAATACCTACGGTTTGAAAATTTTACAACTCGACTAGACATCGGGTTGCTTCGGGTTGTGTTAATTCACATGGATTGAGTTGATCGAGTTTTTGAGCACCCCTACTCAAGACTTGTGAAGGTGCTACACATGATCAGGTTGTTGGTGCATGTTTACAAGGCCACATGGCACCATTTCAGTATGGAAAACGACTTTGTTAAAAAATTAAAAGAAAAATGGTTAAGAGGTAAATTTGGTCGGTCAAAATAATAATTTTTTTTTCCTATTTTTAAATGAATTTATTATGTGAAATATATAATACCAAATTTACCCTTTGCAATGAATTGTAATAAAAAATTGGATCCAACCAAAACCGGTTACGCAGAAAGTGATAAAGACCAAGTCTAAGTGGTTATGATGGTTGGAAAGTTGACGTTGACCAAGCCCAAATGGAGTTGGATGTTTGGTAACGAGATTGGTTGCAACTTACGACAGACTTTTTGGGGAAATAAATCAAGTATTAAAACAAAAATACAAAAGAACGCGACGTGTGAAGTACGTTAAAACAAAAAAAATAATAATTTGATATACACAATCTAAATTATCAATATTTCTTATCTATATTATATTATAAAGCATTTGACAAAAACTTTTAAAAACCATTTTTTATATGTAAAGTACTGTTTATTAATGCATATTACTTAAAGCTCAAGATTACAATTAGATTTTGCGTAAGTACAACTTATTAAAGCTTTATATCTGAATTCGTGTAACTAACTGCAGATAAACATAATCAAATACAAGATAAAATTTTCATTTTAAATATAAAAAATCTAAAATATAATTAAGATAATCATTAAATTCTAACATAATACTTAATTATTATCTTTAACATATTGAGACTCAATTGGAGCTAAATATACATCATAAGAAGATGGGTTTATCACAGAAATTACACACATACACGGCTGCCCTCTCATGACAGCTGCTAAAACTCGATTTGAGTCCAAAAAACCCAAAAATCGAAGCCAATACTAACTTAAACATCAAATATATCAAGAAATCAAACTTAAACATAAATCGTTTACCTTCATTTGACGATTAGATGCCAAGAATTCGAGATGTGAAGCCTTATAAGGGGCTGTTTGGCAGTTGCTGAATGATTTTGTGCAGAATGGTTAAGAGGGTCAGAATGGTTAAGTGCTGAATGAAATATGGTTGTTTGGTAAATGTTCTCTGAATGATAGCAAATTACCATTTTAACCCTCTGTATGATTTAGTACTGAATGAAATATAAYTGTTTGGCAGATATCTGAATAAAACAATTACTTTGTAAATGTAACTACATATTTCATATTAATCCAAACAAACATAACATTAATTGTTCAAAGCAAGTTTTCATATTAATCAAATACAAACGTATCAAACACTCATATTCCTTGCAGATCAAATAGGTAAAGATCAAAACAAGAATCAAGGGACCATAGATGAGGTAATAGAATGTCACAAGATRKCCATAGCTCATAAGTTCACCAAGCTCCCTGTTAGCCATAGCCACTTTGAAACCACACTTGTTAAACCAACCTCTGTTGAACAAACTGCTACGAAGCCAACCTTTGATGAGCCTGTTAATCCTTCCCCAGAACCACTGGAAACTCCTCCTRTTAACCTAATCATTATCAAACCTGTTGAAACCACAAACACTGAACCAAAACCTAAAACTACTAACCCAGTCCCTGAACCCATGGAAACCAATACTTTTGAACCTAACCCTGTTGAGATCACAACCCCTTTACCACCCACTGTCTCAATCCATGAATTAGACTTTGCCTTAGGCCTTACATCCTTAAACCCACCAAGAACAACTACCATACCTATAGAAAAACCCTCTAATACCCATGATGAACCTATTACATCACCACCATAATCACCACAATCCACCCAACCCATTGTGCATAGCGCTGCTAATACATTTGTGCAGAAAAACATGGAACCACATAGCCCAATACCCCTGAAAATAGCAACCAGCAAGTTGAACAGGAGAGGGAAGAGCATGATACTGGTGCAAGTGTGAAAGCCAAAGCAGTGAGGCAGAAGGGAATGTTTAGAATTAAAACCAKAWKTACAAAAGAAAGGAGGGTTGTTATTGAGCAGTCTGATAAGGAAGTAGAGACAGCAAGAACAGCAAAGAAGAAAAGAGTGCAGACAATCGCCAATTTAACAATGTATATACAAAGAGTGCAGACAATTGAACATACCCATGGGCTTTCCACCAATSTCAACATCAAAATAAACCCTGTGTGTAACTTCATCTAGATCCCCTTCTGGTCCCTCTGCCTAATAAGCAATCATCAATGCACATATATCACTAAGTTATAAACCCTAGTTAAATCATCAATAATCTGTAATCCTGTTACAATTGTCCTATCAAATCCCAGTCAAGGTTGTGAATTAGGTCAATCATGATCAACCAAAAGTCTAGAACATCAATTAGTTGCAAATAGGATCAAGCCTACATCAAAGACAATCATTCACCACACATGAAGAAGAAGAAGAAAGAAAGAAAAAGGAACCTTATGACTGAAATGGAGACGGCGACAGAAATACGAGAAAATACGGTAGGAAGCGAGGAAATACGACCTGCTGGAAGACCGGAGACGGCGACCGGAAGAGCGACCGGAGATGGAAACCGGAAGAGCGATGATCGGGGAGGGGGAAGACGGAGACCAACGATCGTGGGGGGTGGGAGGCGATGTGAAGGGCGGGCTGTATAGAGGGGCAAACTTGGAAAAATAAATCTGAATGGTTTAGTGAAGGGTTGGACACAAAATGGTTAAGAGGCTTATGTAACCATTAAGAGGCTTGATTTTTTTTGCCAAACACTCCTTACCTCTTACCGATTTAGAGGTTGGCTCTTAATGTCACCATTAAGAGCCAAACAAACAGCCCCTAAGTCTTTCATCGTCTTCTCCTTACTTCTCCTGATCTCTCTCCAAAATTCTTCTAATTTTTTTTATCCCTTTTTATATTATCACTAGATTAAGAGGTTGACACAATAACCCCCTTGGATTTCACTTTAACACAATTCTACCCCAAACTTTCAAACATCCAAATATTTGTATCTAATATTTTAAAATAGGATGTTACACATCTAGTCTATATCTTCAAAATGTCATAAACCCTTATCCCACAAGTGATGACTATTTCACAGTCACTGCATATTTTGCTATTTGGTACTACACGTTTTTAGCATGCAAGCAATTACTTTATAACAAACAAATTTTATCATTATAATCATCTTGTTAATACCTTCAAGTCAATTGGTTTATAGCAAACAAAATAAGAAAAATAAGGTGACTACTAATTTCAGACTTGAGAGTTGGAAAAATTAGAGTTTAATTGATATATGAATTGATAATTCATTGAGAGTTGTAAATAAGAATATGAGATGACAAGAATTAGAGTTAGTATCCTAACCTTTTATTTTTTATGGGATGACCTTGAACTAATAGAGTAGTGGACGGCTAAAAAGAATAGGAGCTTAGAAGGGGCCAAGGGAAATTTTAAAAAATTACTGTAATAACCTAAACCCTCTAACTTAAACCTTATAAAGGTTCAGGCACTACAACAAAATCGGGTTTATATGACACTCTTAAATTCTAAGTGTCCTAATAGACCTCTTTATAGGACTTAGTTTATATGACCAAAAAAATAAAGTGTCTTATTTAAAGGTGTTGTAATAAGTTTATATGACGTTTTTTGACGTCGTAATAAGTTTTTTAGGACACTTTTAATATAAAGTATCCTATTATCAACTTTATATGACACTTTTTGAAAAATTGTCCTATAAAAAAATGAGTTTATAGGACATTTTCTCAAAAGTGTCCTATAAAGTTGCTAATTTGACACTTTGTATTAAAAATATCATAAAAAACTTGTTAAGAAGCCCAAAAACGTCATATAAACTTATTACAACACCTTTAGATAGAACACTTTATATTTTGGTTCTATAAATTAAGTCTTATAAAGAGATCTATTGGGACACTTAAAGATTGGAGGTGTCCTAAAAACTCAATTTTGTTGTAGTGAGGGGTGTAATTGTAAACTTCCTTGCTTTTCAGGGACTAACTTTGTAAATAGAAGATCCGGGAGAACAAATCCTTCCCTTGCTCATTTGGAATCAGCCACATTCGAGAGAATAGAAGGAAGGAGAATTTTGGGAGAACATCAAGCTTTCTTCAGGAAATTCGTGGAGAATCAAAGGTTTTGGGGTGAAAGGAAGTCTTCTTCTTTAAGGTAAACATCCTCTTTCAAGCTAGTAATCTCCTCTAATGGACTTTTTGATTTCTTGTTGTGAGTTTTTCTATTTTGAGGGATTTTGGTTGAAATTATTAATATATGTATGTATTGAGGGTTGGATTAATGTTCTTCATGAGATTTATCCTGAGAATGCCATTTTGTTGATGAATTCATTAAGGGAAAATAAGGGTTTCTAATCTAGAGCATAGATTCTTGGTTTTGATGATGAGTTTGAGTTGATCAATTTGTGATTTAAGTGAATGGGATGGATTGGAAATGTTTTTAATTGAGATTCTTGATTTTAGGTATCATTTGAGCATGAGAATGGTTGTTGATTGTGAGTTTAGAGTGAAAATTAAAGTTGTGCAGGCAATGGACGAACTGATGCAAACAATGCCTGGTACGACTTGACGCACAACCTATTGTTTCGTGTGTGGTTCGGTTTGGTTCGCTCCTTTGTTCGATGTAGGATCAAGGATGCATTCCAGAGGGTTTAATAAATTCGTTTAATTCAGGTATTGGGTTTTAGCTTTAGTAGCCGTTAGGACGTGTGGTGGTGAGTCGAGCACCAAGTGAGTTCCCTTGCCCTTTTCTAATTGTGGAACTGTTTACTATTGTTTTTAAAAGCTCTGATTATGGTTTTTATAACGTGGCATTTAAATGATTACTCGTTAAAGCATTATTTATCACATGTGATAATGTTTGTCGTTACTTGTTTGGGCATGTACAGTAAGATTAGTGTACCTTGAGATAGTGGAATCCCTTGGGAGTATTTAATCATGTGCCTTGAATTTGTTTTATGAGCACACTGGATAGGCTTCTTCTTGAGCCGTGGTTATGACATCACAATTGAGCGACAGTGGTCTATGAACACTATGCTAAGCCTGTGGCTTTTGTAATTCATCGAACACTTGGATATTTTGGGTCGTTATGGCGAATTGTTACTTTTATGAAATGTTTTCCCATGCAAGTTATTGGGAATTCACTAGCCCTTTTGGTCTAACCATCGTTTATAAACTTAAATCATTTTTAGACAAATGTTTTGTATAAAGTTCTTCCAAGGACAAATGGAAGATGTGAGAAGGTCTAGAGATGACTTGAATTAGAAGACGAAGCTTAGTTACAAAAAATTTAAATAATTCTGAGTTATGGATGTGTTTATCTGCTGCAAATTATTGAGATCCATTATTTATCTTTGACTTGTCATACTTTGGGACCATTATGGTACTTTAACGTACCTACCTTTGTCTTAGATTTTTGGGTTGTTACATTTACACTGGCTAATAATTAGGGATGTTAAGTTCGGGGAAGAAAAACACAAGATTAGAACGGAATTCAATTTCAAATCCAGTTCAATCCTGCAAACCGAAGATACCTTAAATCTTTTAATGGAATGTAATACATTTTTTTCAATCTAATTTTTATCAATTGATTAATATTTATTAGTAATTAAGGGAATGATTATTAATAAGAAATAAAGAAAGCAAGATGATTGAGAAATGAGAATGCCCATTCTTCACTTGGAGTGCAAGATATATCCATATCATCTTTCTTCCATCTTAATGAAGTGCAAGGTAGTCTTTCATTTTCAATTTTTTTATTCCATAACTACCCCTGCTTTACATACATATATATATATATATATATAGAGAGAGAGAGAGAGAAAGAGAGTTCGTTTCAAATGCAACTTATCACATTTGTACAACCAATGTAACTCAATAAATTGAGATGTTTATGAAAATGATGAGAGTTCATTTATTATGATTTGAATATTTATAGAAGATAAATAAAGTTCATTAATTATGATCAATATTTTTTATTAGAAAACAATCAAAACTTCTATGAAATTGTATATTCATCAAATTAAATGGACGGTTGAGATTGGGTTGTATTGGTTGTACAAATGTAAAGGGTTGTATAATAACTCACCTTTATATATATATATAAACTCTCCCTCCTCCATCTTAGTTACTCTCTCATTTATTTGGTAACATACATGCATACACACAATTGAATGTACACATAAGGTGAATACATTGTCAATATTTTATTATAAATGTTATTTATAATTGTAAACACGTTCTAAATCTAAGAGATATGGTATAGCTTATAACGTATTGTTAAAACCAACTAAATTTGCAACATTAAACATAAACGTACCACTGGTGAACATCATGCGAACCTTTTGAACATATTGTGAACACCCACTAAGAAATTTTCTTAAAGTTGTTTATGTTTCTTCACAATGTATTCATCTTATCTGCACATCACGGAAAGAGAGAGAGATGGACTTTTGGAGTTAAATTTTCTTACAAATTGCTACTAGCCAACATGCATGCAGAAAAAAAAAATGATTGTTAAGGGGTTGTTTGTTTATCTCTTAATAGTTCTATTAAGAGACAGTCTCTGAATCATTAAAAGGTGAATCTTATTTGACAAAAAAAATATGTTATAAAACCCTCTTAATGGTTTTGTATCATGTGCCCCCTTAACCATTACACACCCTTCTTTTATCGTAAACAATTACCAAACAATTATATTTTATTTTTCACTATATCATGAGAATCTCTCTTAATCATTCTGATTTAGCAACCGGTGCCCTAAGTCTAAATTATTATTTTTGACTTTTAAGTAAATAATAATTATTTATATTGTCTTTTTGCTGATTATTAGGTGCTTGATATTTCTTTCTTTTGTTTCTTGGGATAAAAATAAATTGGCTTCTTTGAAACGACCCGCACAATTGGATTTTTTTTTATTTATTAAAAAACAATTTCTTTTATTTTTATCAATTTTTCAAAGTGCATATTATTATTATTTAATATAAAGTAATATTAAAAAGGTAATTGCTTTAATAATAATAATATATTTAGGTGAAGTTGTAACTTCCTTTTTTATCTTTGTACTGTTGATATATAATTAATCAACGCATTTTCAACCCAACATTAAATATATAAAATGGAGGTGTTTTTTACTACAATTATGTCATCAAACCATTATAAAAATGGACCTTAAAAATGTTGATATCTATCTATAAATATTAATATAATTAGAAGAATATTCGTGCAATGTATCGAGATATATATCGATTACAATGTTTTGTTTTGTTCTTTTTTTTATGTTGATATAAATGGTTTTATGTGGTTTTGTGAAAGCGATCATGTTTTTATTTTTTAATAAAATATAAAATTGAAAATATCATAAAATTTTGAAAAAAAATATCGACCTTATAAAAGTTTTTGTTTCTGGGGTAATTCAATTTTTTTTTCATTATAATTTAATTTAGATTTAGTAACGAAGTAATTTAATTTAGGTTCAATAATATAATTTTTTATAACGATAATAACTAAGTATTTTTGTTAGAACTCAATGATTATCCTAATTATATTTTAGATTTTTTATATTTAAAAGATGTTTTTGATAGGGAGGGGGGAGACCCCTCCAGATCAAGATAAAACACTAAAACGCTAAAACAACAACAATGAAGCGCTCGAGTAGGAGGAAACCTCAACTACCAGAATCCAAGGCACCCGAGCGGAAAGAAAGAGGGAGACAAAGAAGAAGGAAGACGAGAAAAGAGGGAAAATGAGAGAAAGAAGAAAGGGAGAAGAAGAGAAGAGGGAAGAGAAAGAGGGAAAGAGAAGAAGAGAGAGGAAGAGGGAGAGAGAATTTTTTAAAAGATGTTTATCATCTATTTGATTATGTTTATCTACAGTTAGTTATACGAATTCAAATATGAAGTTATAATAAGTTGTACTTACGCACAATGTACTTGTAATCTTGAATTTTAAGTAATATGCATCAATAAACAGTACTTCATGCATAAAAAATGATTTTTAAGAGTTTTTATCAAATGTTTTATAACATAGTATAGATATAGATATTAAATTTTTATGATTATATATATTGATTAATAGTTTAATATATTATGTTTATAATTTAATTGTTTTATGATTTACTAGAAGGGTACTCGCGCAATGCAGCGAGATATATCTTGATTTTAATATTTCATTTTATTCTTTATCTCAGTCGATGTTATAATATGATCTTATGTGATTTTGAAAAAACGATAATGTTTTTATTTTTAATAAAATATAAATTTCAAGATATCATAAAATTTTGACAAAAATATATCGATATTAGTATCAAATTAACTATTTAAAATTCCTTATTTTTTGTGTAATTTTTAATTCAATTTAATTTAGGTTCAATAACGAAGTAATTTATATTTGGTTTTAATAATATAATTTTCTTACAAAGATAATAATTAATTATTTTGTTAGAACTCGATAATTATCTTAATTATATTTTAGATGTTTTATATTTTAAAACGAGATGTTTATCCTCTATTTGATTATGTTTATCCGCTGTTAGTTACACGAATTCAAACATGGAGCTTTAATAAGTTGTACTTGTAATCTCAAATTGCAAGTAATATGCATCAATGTACAGTACTTCATGCATAAAAAATAGTTTTTAAGAGTTTTTGTCAAATGCTTTATAATATAGTATAGATACTGTAAATTGTATTTAAATAATTTATTTTTATCATTAAAGAAGAAATTTAGTAAAACAAAAATATAATGTATTTTATTATAATTTTGGTTGATAAAACTTAAACATACATAAAAAAAAATCTGTATAATTATAAAGTATTTAACAAAATAAATTTTCAATAGCCAGAATTTTTAAAAACATAATATTAACCGTAGTTTTATGTCAATATAATAAAATAAAATTAAATACAATAATATTGGTTCATAGCGTAAAGAGAAGGATGCTGACGTTGAACTTCAAAATGCATTAATTGAACATTTGTAAGATGGGTATGTTAACTCGAAAAACTAGTGTAATTTAATTTGTTTTTAAATTTAATGTTTATTAATTCAAAATTTTCGTTTTAGTTTGAACGATGCTTCGTTAAATAAATTATTTTTTAAGTCAAGTGATAATTATTTATTAATTATATAATATAATTATCATGTTTTAATAAAAATGGTATGATAATAAATAAATAAATTATTTTTTTATTATTATGATGATAAAGATGTTTTTAGTATTATTTTTTATTATGCGGTTTGAATTGGTTTTTTTAATGTTTAATGGAACCATCGTTTTTAGTAATTTTAGTGTTTAATTTTTAGTGGTTGGATTGGAGATGTTCTTGTTGCATTTCCAATCCAGCACTAAAAACATAAAAATGGAGGTGTTTCTAATTTTCTATCTCCAACGTAATATTAAAACACTAAAAAAATATTTATATTTAGAAGTAAAAAAAATGACCTCTATAAAAATGAAATATTAATATAATAGTAATTTTTTATAATTATACATATATATATATATATATATATACTATATTATAAAGTATTTGATAAAAACTTTTGAAAACCATTTTTTATATATTAAATACTGTTTATTAATGCATATTACTTAAAATTTAAGATTACAAGTAAATTGTACGTATGTACAACTTATTAAAACTCCATGTTTGAATTCGTATAATTAATTGCAGATAAACATGATCAAATACTTGATAGGTAATTAGGTATCACATTTTAAACATAAAAAATCTATAATATATTTAGAATAATCATTGAATTCTAACAAAATATTAATTATTATCTTTATAAAAAAATTATATTATTAAATCAAAAATAAATAACTTTTTATTAAATTTAACTTAAATTATAATAAAATTTTGAGTTAAAAAATTACATAAAAAACAAGAACTTTTAAATATTTAATTTGATACTAAAATCAATATGTTTTTTTCAAAATTTTATGATACCTTCAAATTTGTATTTTATTCAAAATATAAAAACATTATCGTTTTTCAGTACTACATAAAATTGTATTATAACATCGACGAAAACAAAATAAAACGAAACATTAAAATCGAGATGTACATGGACCCATTATTTTTAGTGCTTTAAAAGTTTTTAGTGTTTTATTTTTAACAGTTGGATTGCAGATGATCTTGAAAGAGAAAGCCAAACAACAAATTGTATCTGATTGTCATTTTTTAAGACGCAGTTTTATGAGACATCTTTTTTTATCCTGGATGGTTGTGGGAGGCGTTCAGCGACTGTAACATTTAAAGAACCAACGACTCGTCAGCATCCTTACTCCTAAGTTAGTACGATCATATGGTTGCTCTGACAAACCAAACTAACAAATAAAAACAACTCTTTATCTAACATTTAATTCGACCGAAAACCAATATGAGTATAATGAACAAGTACACAAATCGAATGGTCTAAATCTCGCGTTTTTTAATATTTAGCGGCTATAATTTACATGTCTTTATTTGAAAGTATAAAAGATTAATGATCAAAAAGTTTATGACAAAAAATACAACTTCTTCGACTATCTATACTATCTTATAAAGCATTTGAGAAGAACCTTTAAAAACCATTTTTTATGTATGAAGTACTGTTTATTGATGCGTATTTCTTAAAATTCAAGATTACAAATAAACGGCCTCGATCGTCTGTCGAGTCCATGTGCGTGGGTCGTTCCGGCGAGGTTTGCGTTTTGTCATTCTCGTCACTTGTTGTTGGTTTGCTTATCGCAAACGTTCGGTGGGTGTGGTTTTTGTCTCTTTTAATGCATTTCTTTGTTGTATCGTTTTTGGTTGGTAATAAATTGATTTGCATTTAAAAGAAATTATAAAACAAACGTTTGGGAGAATATAATGTTGCACAAAAAGAAGGTTTAGGAATATTTGCCAATTAAATAAATATACACAAAGCATCATAAACATTGAATTCTTTTGTATATAGAATAGATCTCATAGATATCACAATTTATAAGCAGGGGCGGATGTAGTAGCAAAAAGAAGGGGGGAAGGGATCCCAGTAAAAAACTCAAAAAAAAAAAATTCATAGGTTAAAATTTAGGTTTTACATGATTTACCTTTCACTTCCCCCCATTACATTTTTCCACGGGCCCCCCACCCCAATCGAAACCGTTACTCTAACAAAAAAAAATCTATTGAAATCAATCAAAAAAACAAAAAAAAAATATTCGAAATCGACAAAAACACTAAAAAATCTTTCGAAATCAACCAAAAAATTTTAAAAATCTCTCGAAACGTTGTAATTAGATTAAAAACACATTGGACGATGTTACGGGCCTTTATTCTACCTTAAAGGTGATCCCACTGAACAAAAATTCTGGATCCGCCACTATTTATAAGGTTCTCAAATGATTAAATCTCTATGATTATCTGAATATATAGTCACACATTTAAATCAGATATAAAAAAGGTATTGTACAAAATCACCATTGAATATGGCCCATAAGATAAAGTTAATGACACTGAATAAAATCAAATCTGAATCCTTTCTATGAAATAATGAATGATCTAATGATTATGAGAAGTTTTAAGAAAAAACATTTTATAATTTTTTTCAACTTTAGAAAACAACATAAAAGCATTTCACGTCTTTATTCATCAACGAAATTCAAATTCAAATTCAAATTTCATGGAATTTTTTGTAATAAATAATTGAATTAATTGGTGCAATAAGTGACAATGAAATCGCACCATCATTTATGGATAAAACATATTTTGAATCTTCATTAATAATAACATGTATTTATTACCAAACTTTTTTTTTATGTGCGTTTGATTTGCAGGAGTGTTTTTGAGCGATTTGGATTTGCAGGAGGGATTTGGATTGAATTGGATTTAAAATTCATTCATGTGTTTGGTTTGCAGGATTTGGATTGGTTTGCAGTATTTTGGAATAATAAGCCTATCCAAATGCACCCCTGCAACTTCAATTGTTCCAATAAACAAATAACACGCTAATCACATTGTTGGGCCAAACTACCAATTGCTATCCTAACAAAGACGAGATCCTGTCTTTCTACTTAATCAAGTGTAAAATAGGGAAACTCATAACAAAGAATAATCAAGAACGCTGGAAATTAGGTCAACAGAAATTAGTTTCCTGCTGAGTGATGAGAAGGGGCGAAGAGGAATAGAGGGAAATCTTTACCTGCTGAGTGATGAGAGAAGGTGGCGAAGAGGAGGAGAGAGCACCGGCGAGAGCGGGACGATGAGGAGGAGAGATTACCGGCGAGGAAGAGAGAGCTCTGACGGATTAGGGCGGCAGGAAGCGAGAGGACGGGAAGGGAAGCGGGATCTGTTAAGGGAGGAGAAGGGGTGGAAGTGATTTTATTGGATTTGGATTTTAAATCTAGCCCATTTGCGAAGGATTTCCAAATCCCATGTTCAAGGGATTTTAATGAAATCCTGATAATTTGGCAAACCAAACATAGGATTGGAATGGATTTTAAATCTAAATCCCCATCAATTTCATTCCATTCCTGCAAACCAAACGCATCCTTACAGAATATACAAATTTATTTACGTTGTTTATAGTTTATTTGATCAATTATATATAACTATTTGATAATTACTTAATAATATATAACAATGATTTATTTAATTTTTAGAGAAATTATTATGTAAAAAATGAGGGTTTTTTCAAACATGTCTTTTAATTAAAAAAAAAATGCTCGGTTTATCTATAAGAAAATACTCTCAAACTAAGGGGCTGTTTGATAGTTGCTGAATGATTTAGTGCAGAATGATTAAGTGGTCAGAATGATTAAGAGACTCTCATGATATAGTGCAAAATGAAATATAATTGTTTGGTAATTGTTTACAATGAAATTAAGACGCTAAATGGTTAAGAGAGATCCATGATACAAAATTATTTAGAGAGTTTTAGAACCATTAAAAGGCAAACTTTTTTCTGTCAAACAAGATGCACTTCTTAACTATTCAGAGACTACCTATTAATTGAACTATTAAGAGGTAAAGAAACAACCTCTAAACTTTTAAATTTATGCAGACAAATAAATTCATATAAATAATTTTATTTAAATATATGAAAAGAGAAAAACGTTTCATTTATTTGCATAATCATTTTAAAACTTGGCATATGGCGCTCGGTGAGTTAATTTAATAAATATAATAACTTATTTAATACGGACACGGACATGAACACGTGTCAAGTTTTCAAAGGATGTGTTAAAATCAGTAATTTACTTTCTTAATTTCAGTAATAATCATATATTTAATTAATAACATAATTATCAGTTATTGCTATATGTAAATTCATAAATCATAATAATCAGATAAAATCATATGATAAATAATATTTAATGTCGGGAGGAATTTAAGGAGTCCCACAATAGTTAAAACCATATTCAGGGGTGGAGTAGAGAAGTGGCAGGGACAAAATTGGAAATTGGGGGGGATATGATTGCCAACAAAGAAGAGCATAAATAAAGATGAAACAAAACAGAGCCGATTTCAATTCTATATGTTTTCAAACCCAATCCCTCAAAAACCTCGATACCCATATCTTCAATCGGATCAACCCTCTTTCATCGTCTTCACTGCTCTCCTGTTTTCATGGTTGCTTAGTGCTTACCTTCAAGAATGGTCCAACCCTTTGACTTTTTGCTTACGAAATCGGGTATTTGTTTCTAAATTTTGAATTTCTTTCGACTTCAGATACGGTTTTGGATATTGATTCATGGCGATTCGAAAAGATAGGGTGAGGTTTAATGTTGGTGGTAAGATCTTTGAAACCACGGCTACAACCCTAGCAATCGCCGGTCGCGATTCCTATTTCGGAGCCATGTTTGATGAAAACTGGGACCTACAACACAATCCCGCCGGCGAGCACTTTATTGATCGGAATCCAGATTGTTTTTCAATCCTCTTGGACCTGTTGAGAACAGGAGACCTTTACATTCCACCACACGTCCCTCAAAAACTCCTCTACCGAGAAGCCCTGTTTTACGGCCTCATCGACCACGTCCGATCGGCAAAATGGGGGCAGTTCGACGGCAACCGTCTTCAGCCTTCAAAATCCGTCACCGGCAGGGCACCCGGCGATGGCACAGCCATCCGAGCTTCACCTGACGGCGGCTGTTGTGTCGCCCATGGAAGCATGGTGCATATTTACGATTGGATGTTGGAAGAACACCCACCTATCAACCTTGATTACCAACGGGTCAATGATGCGGGTTGGGTCGGCCCAGTTGACCCAACTGGGCTCGTGATCAGCACGTGCGAGCGGCTTGGTCGAGGCCAAGGAGGGATGGGACTTTTCAGTTCGACAACTGGAGAATTACGATACAAGTTTAACGTGACACATGAAGGCGTCGCTAAAAGTTACACAGCAGGTGCTTTGAGTTTTAGTGACGGCAATAAGCTATTCTCGAGTTGTAAAGGGCGGAGTAACGAATACGGGATCGGTGTTTGGGACCAAAACACCGGTCAACAAGTCGATTTCTTCTATGAACCACCGGGGTGGTCGCTCGGGGACGCTGACAAGCTCCAATGGTTAAACGGTAGGAATTGCTTGTTAGTTGCCACTTTGTTTCCTAGAAAAGACAATTGTTACATCAGTTTGCTTGACTTTCGGTCAAAGTCAATGGTTTGGTCATGGTCCGACATGTGGTCTCCAGCAAACAGCGACGACCGGCGTGTTCGAGACGCGATAGCCATGGAAGAAAATAGCTCGATATGTGTCGTGAATGAGTTTGAGGATTTAGGGTTTATGGATTTGCGCCGTGAGTCGGGGTTGGTCAGATGGAGCTCACGAAGTCGCTTAATGAAGGGGAAAATGCCAGACGAGCCGTGTTACCCTAAACTCGCATTGCACGATGGCCAATTGTTTTCATCCATGAACGATAGCATCTCGGTGTTTTGTGGGTCCGACTGGGTTTTGACATCGAGGCTCAGAAGGAGTTTTGGTGGCTCGATTTGCGATTTCTCGATCGGGGGCGATCGGCTTTTCGCCCTTCACAGTGAAGAAAATGTGTTTGATATTTGGGAAACTCCGCCGCCACCCATTGTGTGAATTTGCGTTGAAACTGTTTTCATATGCTCTAGTTATTAGTTTGCTAATCATAGAGATTTACACAAACAGTTTTCGTTGTTTTCGTTTACTTTTTCCAGAGCTGAGATTTTTATATCCAGAGCAATCTTACTGTAATGAGTTTCACATTATGCATTAAAACTTGTACATTGCTCTGGATATAAAAAAAAAAGCAAGTTACATCAGTATATGGTGAATTGGTGATCATGTTAATGTTTTCAGTTGTATTTCATTGTTACTTTTTCTAGAGCAAACCTGCTATGAGGAATTGTACAAGATGCTTTAAGATTCGTACATTGGAGGTGCATGTGGTTTCTTTTTGACCATTCACTTTTTGCAAAGGGCATGTGGTTGTTAACTGACTCCAGAACTAACTCTGCTTGCATTGGTGGTTTCTTCCATATGGGTTCTGCCACTTTTTGGCTCTTATTAGGGTATGCCAATCTTTGAGGAATTGGATTTTAGAAAATGGGTACCACCAGAACAAGTCTCATTGTTAGAACTTGTACATTGTGCAATATCCAGTTGTGTCTTGAACTTTTTCACTTGTACCAAAGGACTACCCTATCAGTGTTGTCAACCATAGAGATAAGATGCATGCAGATTTTACCAGACCTTGCATATATATCGACTTTGAATAACTAGTCAATTAGAACTCTATTGTACTGCAACTGGTGCATTGGTTTTTCCAGCGTTGACAAGACCCCCGACTTGCAAAAGGTAAGCAAAACAAATAAAAAGCACAAATGTGAGCCGTGGATTGGGATATAGAAGTCTTTTCAAGTCGTGGTTATAGAAGAATGCAAAAATCATGTTCGGCTAAAAAGCATGCATACCAAAGAAACTCTCTGTCTCTATATCTATCAAAAGATATCGCAAACCTATCTAAACTCAACCAAAAGGAACTACCCGTAGCTTTTGCTTTATACGGTTGATCCATATCTCGTTATACTGAACATATAATAATGCATAAAGTAAAATACTTTTGTTTGCTCTCTTGGTTCGTACGAGTAGCTACAGCTACTATTGCCAAACCGTTTTAGAATGGTTCCATAGAATAAAGTTGATATCTTTTTGGCTTTTAAGATGGTATATCACTTTTCTAGAATGAAGATTTGATCATTATCCAAAATAATGAATGATGTTGTCAACTGACTTGTACATCATGTAGTAAAATTTGTATAAAGGAAGGAAGGAAGCCTTTAAGATCATGTGCTTCAAAATTTAAGAATCTTGGGTATTTTTAATCTATAGAATACAATGCTTTTTTAAGATGGTAAATCCCTTTTCCTAAAGCCTAAAAAGACTTGTATATTATGCATTAAAACTTGTGGATTGCTCCAAAAAAGGGGGCTATGGCTATCCTTAAGATCATGTGGTTCAAAATTTAAAAATCTTGGGTGGATCTAACCTCTAAAACCTGCACAGCAGATGGAGCAAAACACTGGCTTGACCACACCTCAAGATCCTGACTCTTGTCTTGTTTTCTGGTCTTCTCTGCCATTCACTTGAATCTGGTTCAATTTTATAATGCAGCTCTTCTCAAGTCTTCCAACTAATTAAAATAACTCATCAAATAAAGTTAAAAACTTGCATTGTTTGACCAAATTTTTTAAGTAAAAATAGCAGTAGTAACGGGATCGACGCGGACAAACATCAATAAATCAATACTAAACAACTAATCTTGATTAATTTAGTTTCGGTTGGTAAATCGAGGGTCATCTGTCAGTAAGATTTATGTATGTTTGTGTATATATACACACACACACACATATATATATATATATGTGTGTGTGTGTGTGTGTGTGTGTGTGTAAGGTTCTGGTTGGAAAGACTATTGCCAGAAACCTGAGATTTCATGAATTATTAAACAAGATAGTTGCAGGCATTAATCCACCAACTAAAACTGCGTCTCATATCATGTATTATACACCCGGTTGGTAGATCCAACTCATGTAAAACAAGATGGGGGATTTTCTTTTCTATTATATCCTTTAATTAAAGAATAAACTTGCACGAATAAAGGACATGAACAACCAAGAAGCTTCTTTTAATGGGAAAGAACATAATTAATTAATTATAAGTAAAGAACATTAATTAGATTGATTTTGTAGTCTGAGACAATGTTTGAAAACCTGTCCTAGCCCCGTATTCAAACTGCTGAATTAATAGCAATCCAAGTCACAAAGAACCAGTTTAGTCCCTAAAAATAGGAAATGCTAGAATTTGCTCAACGCCGGTGAACCAACAATTAGGTGGCTTGAGTTGTCCAACAGGTTGGCCAGTTCCCATTGGGGTTATTTGAATTATGGTTTTTTTTCAATTCTCCATTTTATGAGACTAATCTACATTTCTCCTCTCGTTAAGTGAAATGTCCCTACCGAAATTCCAGCCTTCATTTCTCCAGAGTCCCCGTGACTACACCCTGGTGGGATATACTGGGATCGCTTGGTTTGGTTTATTTCGACCCTCAAATCTTTTTCTCTCTCACCCTCATATTTCTTCTTCACCACTTTGGTAGAAGACTTCAATAATTTGTAGAACCACAATAGAAGTTTATTCTAAACTTTGTGTTGTAGTGGTATTAAATTGTTTACTTTTATAACATAATATGTCCATGTATAGGAAAGGAACATAGAAGCAGACCCTATGGAAACTTGGTCATTGATCATCCACCTTGGATTTTAAGACTTGCACTTTGGGTGGGTGTCTTAGACATCCAGAGTGCACATAATGACTGAACAAATTTTGTGCAGGTTTTGTTGATAGTTTACGAACTCTGCATTTTGTATTCCTGACATAGTTATGGCATCACTGGCCTATAACGATCCATCCATGGTTGACCGGTGTCCAGTTCTAAGGTAATGTTTAAACATGAGATGGGAATTTTGTATACCGTATATTAGACAGTGATACACAAGGGACCAGAAATCATACTTCTTTCCCAATTCTGATGCAGAGATTTGTGGGATGCCTGCAGTTTGTAGCTTGGAATCTGTTAAGGTTTAGTGTGGGACGGGTACTTTGATATCATGAGACAGAAACTCTATGATGTCCTGTAGAAAAGAAAGGATATTCCATATTTGTAATATATGTCATACAGATTACCTGTTACCATTTATCATACTTCTAGAACTCTTTAGAACTCATAAACTTTAGGGAGGGGGGCAATAAATACATGTTCTTTCTATACAAAGTAGTACAAGCAAATAAATTCCATCACCAATATGAGCAGAAAACATATACCAACCCATCACAATACATAGGGTTAACACAAACAGAAAAATAATACTGTCAAACCAACACAATACAAAGGAAGGTAATAGCCTGCAAGAAAGAAAATGTATACCAACATACAGACGGTTAATTTTGTCAGAAAGAAAAATTGCCTCTCATGAATTCACTTGCCTCTGCAGATTTTCTATTATTTTCAAATTTTAAACAAGAGGTTTCCATAATGTACTTCTAAAACCCAAAATATCTCTGATTTGAACAGGAGGGATGCTCTTATATTCCTGTTCCATATAATACTTAGGGCATAAACGATACATTTCTTCAATGAGAAAATTCTTTTAAGTCGATTCATTAATATACCCTTGAAGACAATCAATAAAGACCCTATAGACCTTTTACCTACTTATTTTAGTTGTGATCCACTTGGACCCAGTAAAAAGAAAATATGTATGTATGTGTATGCATTCGGTAAATGCATGATAACCAAATATGGGTATTTTGGTAACTTTTAACAAAATCAAAGTATCTATTAGTCTCCATGACATGTACAAGAATGATCACTACCAACACCAATATATGGTAAAAGAAGTCACTCATTGTGATGAGAAGATCTTGTCCCTCTTTGCAAAATATGAGGAAAGAGACTGTGCAACACCTCCCTCCAACAACCTTTGCAAAGCTAAGGAAAATTGGTACACTAGATCTCACTGTTATCAACCCCATATGTGGTTAACAAGGAAAACATAAGCTGTATGCTAACAAGTTCTACGCTAATTACCACATAGCAACCAACAACAAGTGAATTCAGGCAGCAAATTGGAACTTAAAAGAGGACATTACACAATTTAAGTTTTTTCTTGCATGATGTCGATCATGCTTGACAACTTGAGGAGCTATGGCTTATAGGAGTACATCAGTGGGGCAGGAAGGGAAGAGGTACCATGGGGGCTTGCCAATCATGGAAAATCCAAATGCGTATGAAGTTGGAAATATCAAAACATAACATGCTTTCATATAATCATCCCCAAACACCTACTCAATAAAATTAATGAAAGAAATTATTATATATAGATATATTTATGTAAGTGCTACTTACAGACTTAACAACCCCATACAGGAGTCGAAAGACTTACCACATGGACCATACTCCCGTGCATGTTGGAGACATTATATCATATTATATATGGAGGAGCTCCTCACATGTACTACCTTCCTGTCTCTCTCCATCTTTTTCCCTCGATATAATTTGTAATTAATGAACCACTCCTTTTCAGCAATATAAGGGCATTGTTATTGTTTCTATATATATAATAAGTTCATGGGATTCAGCGACCTCGTAGTTAAAATAAAACACAGGGTGAGACAAGCACCAAAAATTGGATGAGCAGTGACCAGTGTAATACATTTTTCTGTGCCTACTGTTAGGAGCACATACAGAGAAGTAAATTGCAGGAATAGAAAAATTGAATACACTCTGACAATGTATTTATGTGGTTCAATAATTTGACTACATCCACGATTGTCGTTAGGAGTTTGTTATCCACTCATGGATTTAGGTAGTATTTATGTGAATTTCTGCAAAACCATAATCCGGTTATGATTCAATTAATCTTTCGTGGGCGAAACATACAATACAAACCTGGTTTCTTATCCAACACCGACCTCCCTCACGTTATCCTTGGAGGTTTATTTATTTCCCTTTTAGCGGTTTTAAAGAAATGAAAATTAAACAAGGTAGAGATGCACCATATTAGCCTTCTCTCTGTTACTCATACCTTATCCATTGAGAATAGAAAATCAAATGGTTAACCCTTGAAAACTGATGTGCAACAAGTTTTTCCAAGAAACTACGTCAAACTTTAGGAAAATCTTGATGATAAATTAGGATCTGCCCACAAGCATGGTACCCCCATATTATCTTTGCTAGCTCTGCCCTATGATGGTAGGAAGATATTAAAAGGGTCCATGGCCACTGTAAGATTTCCG